CTTTGGATACCTTCTGCTTGGGACCCCCGTGTGATAAGGTCCCTACAGGTGGCAGGATAGTTTAGAGGCCCAGTGAAAGTTGCATGGCCCATGGTGCTCAGTCCTCATAACATCTTACTGCCACTCCTTTGCCCTTTATCTGTCCTCTGCAATGGCCAACTCACTGCCATGATAAAGCCAGTCTTATTCAAGATGAAAAACAACATGGACAGACTCCCTGATTTGGCAGGGATGTTCTCAATTAATCCTCTGTCATCCAAGTTTCTCTCTTCTCCTTGCAATGAGGGTGAGATGGTACATAGCCTTGTCCTCACCTTACTTTAGTTCTTGCAAACTTTAAGTTCAGATTGCAAAAAACAGTTTCAACTCAGTTAACTCTCACCAGAGAGGAGGGGAGGAGATAGGGACAGAATCTTGCTTTTTCCTCTAAATTCAGACAAAAGCAATTTGCTGCAGGCTCTCTTAGCTTGTGTTTGTTGTTGTGTGCCTTCAAGTTGTTTCTGACTTATGGTCCCCCTAAGGCAACCTTACAATGATGAGATTGCCTTAGAGTCACCGTAAGTTGGAAACAATTTGAAGGCACACAACGACAAACATAAGATAGGAGATGGTTTTTCTTGGCAAGATTTGTTCAGAGGAGGTTTGCCATGGCCTTTTCCTAAGGCTGAGAGCATGTGACTTACTCAAGGTCACCCAGTGCGTTTCCTGGCCCAACAGGAAATCGAACCTTGGTCTCCAAAGTCATAGTCCAACACTCAAACCACTACGCCACACTGGCTCCTTGTTTGCCTGTCCTCATTAATAACTTTTGCCATCTTGACCATACTCTGGTGTTACTTGGCCACAAATGTCCCAGTTTTCAATTGTGAAACATTGGCACAATGGGTTTCATTTCACTTCTCTTTCACTTTCATCTCTTTCACCATAATCCATCATTTTGAAAAAGAGCATGATATTTTCTGCAGGCTCAGAGACAAACATTTCTGCCAATTTTTGAGGGCAGTGGACCTGCTCAGCTACAGCTCCTGTTAAGATTAAACAGTCTGATATCTTGAGACTGCTACTTCACTGGGGAAAATCCTGCTTTTCACCATAGCATTTCATCTCTAGCTTGCAACTCAACTTGCCATCCAGGTGTTGTTCAGTGGGGAATGTCTCCTGCCTGTTCTCCTGTGTATGGGTTCTTTATTTTTAAACCATTCTTGGACTCAACAAATAATGGTAGGTTGCCAAAGGACTCACATCAGAGGACTGAACGGAGGAATTATTATACTCCTCCTACTTTCTCCCTTTGTCCTCAGTTTATTTCACTTGCTGTATACTGAGCAAAAGTGCCCGTTTGGTGTAGTGGTTTGAGCATTGGACTAGAACATTGGAAGACCAGGGTTCAGACCCTGGCTTGGCAATGAAATCCCACTGGGTGATCTTGGGCAAGTCACATACTCTCAGCCTCAGATTAATCCTCTGCCAATGGCAAACCCTCTCTGAAGAAACTTGTCAAGAAAACCCCATGATAGGTTTGCCTTAGGGTCACCATAAGTCAGAAATGACTTGAAGACACACAACGACAACAACAACAACAACAAAACCGCAAAAGTAGTTTGTACTCAATTAATTCAACAGGGGGAGAGGAAGGGCAGAATCTTACCCTTCCCAAAAGGCTCAAGCAAAACAAAACTGCTGCAGACTCTCCCAACTTGATTGTCCTTCATTATTAATAACTTTTGTCATCTTGACCACACTCTGGTGCTGCTAGACTGCACATGTCTCAGTTTCCATCTGTGAAAAGTCTTAGGGTATGTGTGGATAGTTGTCACTTTAAAGGCCTTGTTCCCACTGTGATTTAAAGTGAATTTCAGATCAGGTTATATGACCATAGTTCTCACGTGAAACTGGTTCTGATCCTATTGAGCTCAGCTGCAATCATGATGAAGTGAGGCAAATGCAAAAAACTCGCTCTTTCCTGACACTAGTTTTTGACAGTTCTTTTGAAAAGAATTGATTTCGAAATGTGTTCAACAAGTGGGAATAATGGATCTGAATCAGATCATACTGGAGAAGAGGGACTAATGGCAGAGGGGTGTTTACCATCCCGACTCAGTTTTTG